CTGTAAGAAGGCATGAAGTTCCTCCTCCATTCCTTGCTACAGCACCAGGACATAATTGATCTAAAGCAGCCATAAACCTATATAGCTGTGATACCTCAGGATGGGGTATACCACCTCCTCCCAGCCACCCAAGTGCAAACAAGCATCTACTAATGTTCTCATTGAGGTACCCTAAATCTGCAGATAGCTAGGCCCCAGGAACCTGCTGCTGGTGTTGTTCCAACAGTGTTGATATCCCATGAACACTGTGGTTTACCCATATTCCGTCCGGCCGCTGTATATAAAGGGCCGGATGGTGGCAGTGCAGGGGCGGGTTGCCGTTCATAAATGGCGTCCACCATTTTGGACTGTGCATGCTCCCTGGGAGTGCCCGGCACCGCGATCCGGTGCCCGCTGTGTCCTCCGAACACAGCGAAACACCAATCGCTGTACGGGACCTCTGTGTGAGGGCCCGATCATGTGATCACTGATTGGCCAATCAGTGATCACATGAATAGTAGTAAGCAAGATGTCACTTCTGACATCATTGCTTACTACGTGTGAAATCTGTGAATGATCACAGAGATCACATGGTACAGGGCTATTCACAACAGCCTTGTACCATGTGACAAGCTGTGACCAATCACAGCTCACACAGTATTTCTCAATGGCTGCAAGAATGCAGCCAGAGAGAAGGAGAAATGATTGCTTTTACATCCTTTATGGGTGTAAAAGCAATCAGTGTAAAAAAAAACAAAAAAAAAACTTCATCACCCCCCACAAGTAGTACAGTGTCACTATGGTGACACTGTACTGCTACGGTGACAGTATGTTAAAAAAAACCCCATAAATAATAATCTAAAAAAATAAAATAAAAAATGTAAATGTAATGGCCAAGATGTATGAAGAAAGATTATTTATTTGCAAAATTTTATAAGAAAAACACTTTTTTTCAGACTTTTTGGACTTTTTCATTTATATAGCAAAAAAAAAAAAAAATCCCAGTGGTGAATAAATACCACCAAAATAAAGTTTTTTCTGTCTCAAAAAAATGCTAAAAAAATTCATATGGGTACTGAAGGGAAATGTATGTTTTTTAGGTCTGTCATTTTGTTTCCCCCCCACTCCATTCTATATTTTGTACTAACATGTTGAATAATTGTTTTGTATTATACCCAGAATGAGTTAATGAAAATATGCTATGTCAGTTATGTGTTACAGAACTGTACTCACAATATTCTTCTATTTTTTATCTTAGCTTAGCCTTGGTAAATGTCAGGGCAGGAGCCGAGGAATGGACAGGCAGGCCTAACAATGTAACGCACTGGCTGACGACAACCACCACCCACAGACCGAAGTCCCTCAGGGCGCGGAGTCTAAGTCCCAGGCTGCCCTTCACCAGGTCCCCTGATGGTGGGGATGGACTTGACGCAGCCAGGGACCAGGTCGCGGCCCCCGAGACACCTCAGCTGCGGTAATGGCCGCCGCCAATGGCGTGTAACTGGTGGAAGAGACAAAAGAGTAGTCAGACAGGCCGGGGTCAACAACAACAGGACAAAACAGTACAGGACAGCAGATGAGAATCACAGGTCACGAGCCGGGTTCAGCAACAGAGGGTCAGATCAAAGGAGAATACAAAGAATAGTCAAGTCACAAGCCGAATCAGATACCAGGAGAGTCACGAGAGTCAGAACAGAGTAATAGCAACACAAAGACACAAGACACAAGTGCAAAGAGCATGTGCGGGCCACAGGCTTATATGTCATCAGCCACGCCCCTCTGGGGGGTGGACCTCAGAGACCTGAAGGCATAAAAGGATTCCCACCATGCACAGCAGAATCCAAGATGGACGCCAGCACATGGAGTAACATAACCTCAGGGAAAAGGTAGGACCTTGACAGTAGAGGAAGAGATAGTATCCAATTATTTCTTTGTACTAACAGCACCTGTTTCTGTTATGATATAATTAAAAGTCAAATACTTCTGTCCCATGGGAAAATAATTGTTGGATACTTGTAACTGATTTCAAGGTCTGAGAAGAGTCATGTTTACAGCCTTGACAAGTATCTAGCGAGATTCTATTGTATGTAGTAGACAAGTGTTTTAAAACAATTTAGAAACTTTCCTTATTTCTGGGAAGTGAATCACTTTTCTTCTCATCACTTTTCAGAATTGACGTCAGTGTTTGTCTTTTTGTATTCAGCTTACTGACAACTCAGCTTTTTGATACTCTGTGCCCCCCACCTTTCTTTTTTCTGTTATATTAATTTTCTTCCCGCTAATAAACTTGAGAGATTGATTTCACCTATCACTGTGTGTATGTGTCTGTCGTTTCTGAGATGAAGTCAATCTTCCCAACGCGTCCGTACCTTCAACAGGCTGATAAAGACAGATAGCCAGGGGCTAGCGACAACCTTTAAGGTACAGTGTTGCATGACCGCGCAATTGTCATTCAAAGTGTGATAGCGCTGAAAGCTGAAAATTGGCCTGGACAGGAAGGGGGTGAAAGTGTCTGGACTTAATACCAAGGGAACTCTTTGGGTCAAAACATCATTAATCAATATCTTATAATTATCATTTGATCTGTAAATGATTGGCACTATTACCAATTACTTAGGATGTCCTCTCTGGTTTCAATGATAGTTCTATAGGATCTTGGGGGTTGTTTTCAGTTATATATGAGGTTACGGGAGCTTTTCTCCACCTTTTCTTTTTTGTTTACAAACGGTTTTATTATATGAAAGTAGACTGTAAAACAACAGTACATTTACAAATGATACAGTAGAAACAAGGCACTTCTGAAAAGTACAATATAGAAAAATATATTAATACGAGAAAGAGAAGAAACAGAAAGAGTAGGTTGTTAGTACATGAGATACAAAGATGATACGGTGGATTGAATGATACATCTGTCAACAGTAATTCTCCACCTTGTCAACACAGAGGAACGCTTGAAATAACTTTCCGGTCTCGGGGAACTCGTGCTATAAATGACTATTTCTACAACTCATGAGACATTAGTGTGATGGTCAGTGGGAAGAACGCTCCTTACACTTGTGGTCATTGGGAAGAATTACCCCCTTACAGATAGCTAAAAAGATCGCTGGTGTCAGTGGGAACTTATCTGAGAGGCAGACATTGCTCATTGCTCAAGGAACCCCTAATCACCTCTGAAGGAACCCCTAGTCACCTCTGAAGGAACCCCTAGCCACCTCTTAAGGAACCCCTAGTCACCTCTGAAGGAACCCCTAGTCACCTCTGAAGGAACCCCTAGCCACCTCTGAAGGAACCCCTAGCCATCTCTAAAGGAACCCCTAGCCACCTGTGAAGGAACCCCTAGCCACCTCTGATGGAACCCTGGTTGAGAAACCCTGGGTTATGGTGTAAGTGGTCCAGACACTAATTGATGTTCCCTGGTCACAATGTTGTCATTTTAAAATTTGGTATTATTATTATATAGATAGCTAAAAAGATCGCTGGTGTCAGTGGGAACGTATCTGAGAGGCAGACATTGCTCAAGAAACCCCTAGCCACCTCTGAAGGAACCCCTAGCCACCTCTGAAGGAACCTCTACCCACCTCTGAAGGAACCACTAGCCACCTCTGAAGGAACCCCTAGCCACCTCTAAAGGAACCCCTAGCCACCTGTGAAGGAACCCCTAGCCACCTCTAAAGGAACCCCTAGCCACCTGTGAAGGAACCCCTAGCCACCTCTGAAGGAACCCCTAGCCACCTCTGAAGGAACTCTGGTTGAGAAACCCTGGGTTATGGTGTAAGTGGTCCAGACACTAATTGATGTTCCCTGGTCACAATGTTGTCATTTTAAAATTTGGTATTATATAATATTATTATACAGGATTTTATATATTATTATTATTATACAGGATTTATATATTATTATTATACAGGATTTATATATTATTATTATTATTATTATTATACAGGATTTATATATTATTATTATACAGGATTTATATATTATTATTATACAGGATTTATATAGCGCCAACAGTTTGCTCAGCGCTTTACAATATAAGGGAGACAGTACAATTACAATACATTTCAGGAGAGAAGGAATAGGAGGGCCCGGCTCATGGAGCTTACAATCTAAAGGAAGGGGGAGGTAATAGGTGGTAGAGGGTCATGGAATTTTTTTTTTTTATTTTCAGTAATCTTTTTATACTTTTTTGGTATGAATACATGTATACATTTTTTGCTATATGACATTTGTCCTGTTTTGTACCCTCTTCCATGTGACTTATCTAGGGGTCCTGTTAGTCATTGGTGCAACCCTTGCAATGGGGAGGGAGACCCACTGCAAGGGTAAAGGTTTTTCATCCCTGGAGGTCAGTATTGTACTATACTAGAAATGCACTTCTTACCTGCAGACATGTTTCTCTTCTGAAGACAGGAATCAGAATCTATTCATTGCACGGAAATAAAATAAAGATGATTAGTTTCACAAAAATTATGAACATTCAGCAACTTGTGACGGACGCTGTGCCCCTGGGTGTAATTCTCAGTATCTGTTCTAATTCTGTATGTATGGACTCTGCACAGTCCCACTTCTATGGTCTTGTATGCCGGGTATCATTCTTGGTATATGTTCTTATTCTGTATAGATGGACTCCGCACAGTCCCACTTCTCCTGTGCTGTATGCCGGGTGTAATTCTAAGTATCTGTTCTTTCCCTGTATGTATGGACTCTGCACAGTCCCACTTCTCCTGTCCTGTATGCCGGGTGTACTTCTCGGTATCTGTCCTCATTCTGTATGTATGGACTCTGCACAGTCCCACTTCTGTCCTGTATGCCGGGTGTAATTCTCGGTATCTGTCCTCATTCTGTATGTATGGACTCTGCACAGTACCGCTTCTCTTGTCCTGGATGCCGGGTGTAATTCCCTGTATCTGTTCTTATTCTGTATGTATAGACTCTGCATAGTACCACTTCTCCTGTCCCGGATGCTGGGTGTAATTCTCAGTATCTGTCCTCATTCTGTATGCATAGACTCTGCACAGTCCCACTTCTCCGGTCCTGTATGCCGGGTGTAATTCTCAGTATCTGTCCTCATTCTGTATGCATAGACTCTGCATAGTACCACTTCTCCTTTCCCGGATGCCGGGTGTAATTCTCAGTATCTGTCCTTATTCTGTATGCATAGACTCTGCACAGTCCCACTTCTCCTGTCCCGGATGCCGGGTGTAATTCTCGGTATCTGCCCTCATTTTGTATGTATAGACTCTGCACAGTCCCACTTCTCTGTCCTGTATGCTGGGTGTAATTCTCGGTATCTGTCCTCATTCTGTATGTATGGACTCTGCACAGTCCCACTTCTCCTGTCCTGTATGCCGGGTGTAATTCTTGGTATCTGCCCTCATTTTGTATGTATGGACTCTGCACAGTCCCACTTTTGTTGTCCTTGTTGATTACTTTTGTTACATTGTTGTCACAGCCTGGCAGAGATCCAGCATTCAAAAAATGAATAAACAGGCGCAGCAAGTTTCTAAAACCATCCCCTTTGGCTTCTACACTTATGAGTCTAATGCCATCGCACACAATGCGCTCTCAGGGGAAATCCTTCCCACTTCTCCTATGTGAACAACAGTCATATGCTGATCTGTAAATGTTACCCCGAGGTCACTCCGACTTAAAATGAAATTCCAGCTACGTGCGGATGCTGGTGGGTAGAGTAAAGTGGAGGGTTCAAAATCTGCTCTCTCTACATTGCTGAGCTCGTTCTGAAAATGCTAGTGGGGGTCTGGCTGCCCTGCAGGTCCTTAACTCGAGGCACCTGGCTCAGTAAGTATCCAGGGTCAGCCAGGTGAGTAGTATTTTCAGGAGGAGCTCAGCACTGGCTCATTGTAAGAAGATGGAGAGTCAGCGGCTGATCCACAGAGGATAAAGCTAGGTAAATGAATCAGAGAATGCAGCAGCCAATCAGAGACTGCGGCGAGTACCTGTAAGAAGTGGCTGGGTGTCGATTGTCAGCTCCTGTGTCTCAGCTCCCGGGGCTCTGTGCGGAGTGACGGATCTGGAGGCCAGTCTGTGATTTCCTCTCCTCGACTGCTCCCCGTACCAAATATATATCTTACTTCAAATTCTGATTGTGTAATGTTGCTTTGCAGCAGGAAGCGCCTGTGAGCTGTGATGAAATACCATCTGATTGTCAGCAGACGATTATTCATCACAATACACAACACCTTCCAAGAATAGGGTCTGCATCGGGGAAATTCCACTTCAAACTTGAAAGCCGCATTCACACACAGACATTAAAAACAGGCATTTTTGTTGCGTTTTTACGGCTTCCCAAACTTCTTTTAACAATTGTTACAGCAGGGAGCGGATGGAGGTGTACACATGGCAGTGTTAGTGTTGCTTGGTTTGGCAGGGAAGCAAAGACAGCGCGGGATGCAGAGTCTGCCAGGTCCAGGGCTTTGCAGTTGCCACCATCCACTTTTATTGAAACATGTCCCAAATGCGCCAAACATGTGCCTATGCCTAGGGCGCGTTTAGGGCGCTGTTGCAGAGCATCAAAAGCGATCATTTGCCAGGTTGTCACCTGCCCATAGTACATTTACTGCAGATGGGTGGCACAGACCTGTGCCACCCATCAGACAAATGCGCATGCCCCTTAATGACCTGTGCTGTGATTGGTCACAGCACAAGTTTGTCAGCAGATTTCAGCGAATGATTTATGGCTGAAACCTGCTGACCGGCTGTGGCCAATCACTGCACAGAGTTCTGGGTTGACAAACACAAAGCAGCCAGATCTGTGATTACTAGCAGCACATATAACACATTGTTAGGCACACAGTGTGACAGGAGTCACTTTGGGTGGGGGGGGCCCATGGAACCCAGCTCACTTTGGAGAGGTGGGGAGACCCCTGTCTCAGCTCCCCATATCCCTATTATGTGTAAGTCACCCTGTGCCTGTTAGAGGTACAGGGTGATCTGTTCTAATATTGTGCAAACATGTCTAGGAGATAGGTGGGGGTTGTTCATTGTTTAATGCCATGTGGTTGTATCCCATTGTTCTATTGTGTGTCTTGCTTGGGAGCAAACTATTATGGGATGTATGTGTGTATTGGCTTGGTGGGGGGTGTTTCCGGCAGCCCTTCCCCCTGATGGGACTGTCTGCTGGTGTGTCTCTTGTTAGGGCTCGTTCACACTAGGCTGTTTTGCCAACGCTTGCCAAACGCCCCTATAGCGTTTGGCAAGCGTTGGTCCGGTGTTTGCGGAGCATTTTTAACGCTCGGCAAACACCACCGCATTCGCGGTTTAGCGGCAGTTGCTAGGCGTTTGCCGAGCGTTAATAACGCCCCACAAACGTCTATAATGCATTTGAGTGGTGTTACCGCTCCGCAAACACCCCGCAACCGCGTCGCAAAATAAACCGCACCGCAAACGCCGGCCGGGCGTTTGCGGAGCGGCACCATAGACGAGAATAGGAGGCTTCAAAGCCTCCTGACTCGACCAGAGGCGTCCGTTTTTCCGCGACGCAATGCGACGCGACGCAAACGCCCCTGTTAGAACAGCACCATGTGCTGTAATGTGCAGAATTGGCAGAGGCGTTTGGGAAGCGGTAAAAACGCTTCCCAAACGCCTCTCTGCCGCCTGCACACAAGGCTAGTGTGACTAGCCTTACTGGGGTGTGTATTGCCCCGCCCTGTGTATATATCTTGTCTCTGTGTTAAAATAAAGGAGTCTATTTCCTGATTTATTTCAAGACTGGCCTTGTCTAGTCTTGTATGGTCAGCGGTGGTGTCCGTGGATCTGTGTTTAGACAGGGAAGCGGGAGTTTAATGGAAATACCCTAGTGCAGTCGGGGTCCGGTTCCGTTACACACAGGTAACGCCTTGATTGCCCTAGATGTTAATCCCTCCCCAGCCAATGTCATTAGTACAAAGACAGTGTATAGTATTATCAAATAAAATTAAGTTTCGGTCAAAATGTATTCTGCTACATGTCTGTGGTAAAAGAAAAAAAAAATCTCAATAAGTGTATATGAATTGATTTTTTTTTTTTAATTTTTTTGGATATGTTTTATAACAGAAAGTAGAAAATATTTTTTCTTTTCAAAATTTTGGTCTTTTTTTGTATATATAATGGTGATCAAATACCACCAGAAGAAAGCTCTATTTGTGTGGAAAAAAATTACATAAATTTAATTTGGGTAAAGTGTTGCATGACCAAGCTATGGGCGGTTAAAATAGTGCAGTGCTGAATAGCAATAAATACCCTGGCCATGAAGACAATTAAATCTTCCAGTGGTTAAAATGGTAAAAAAAAAAAAAAAAATCAGTTTTTCTCAGGAAATCCTTTTCATTGAAATATCAGCTCCTGGCAATTTATTGTTTATAATCGCCCAAGCAAAAACTTTTTTACACAAAATGTTTTGCATGGCCTTTAAACTGTGACCAGCAGGCTTTGAAGGACCAAAAAGGGGGATTCTGGATAACCCAGTCCCCCAGTATAAAAGGGGGTGACAGTTCAGCCTCACTGTCAGTGCAATGGAAACAACTATAGGGAAAGATGACAAGCTGCGCAGGGAGAGATTAGAGTCAGTTAGGAGACTGTAATTTACATCTGTGAACTGCACTGGTAGGGTGTTTGCCTCCAAAATGTTCACAGTGTTTATCTAACCCAAGAGTTCTTAGTAGGACTACTATCTATGTCACCAGCACGTTTCAGCACTAGCTATTTAGCAACTACCCCCCTTGCTGCCTTGTTTTTTGAAGGGAGGGTATTATTTATTGGCCTTTTCTGTTCAATTTTAATTTTTTGTTTGATAAAGAGGCAGAGGTCACTTTTAAGTGCTGTTCCTGAGGGCTGGCACTCCAAATTCTTGTAGGAAAATATCTGCCTGTGGCTACTACACTGTCAGCTCATAGATGGTACAGTAGTATAAAATTGGACAATTTTAATGCTCAAGACTAGGCCAAAATGTACCAAAGACACAAGGCACTAGGTTAAAATGTACTAAAGACACAAGGCACTAGGTTAAAACGTACTAAAGACACAAGGCACTAGAAAAAAAACCATACTAAAGACACAAGGCCCTAGGTCAAAATGACTAAAGACAAAAGGCACTAGGCCAAACCGTACTAAAGACAAAAGGCACTAGGCCAAACCGTACTAAAGACACAAGGCACTAGGCCAAATTGACTAAAGACACAAGGCACTAGGTCAAAATGACTAAAGACAAAAGGCCCTAGGCCAAAACGTACTAAAGACACAAGGCACTAGGCCAAAACGTACTAAAGACACAAGGCACTAGGCCAAAATGACTAAAGACAAAAGGCACTAGGCCAAAACGTACTAAAGACACAAGGCACTAGGCCAAAATGACTAAAGACAAAAGGCACTAGGCCAAAACGTACTAAAGACACAAGGCACTAGGCACTAAAGACACAAGGCACTAGGCCAAAAGGTACTAAAGACATAAGGCACTAAGCCAAAACGTACTGAAGACACAAGGCACTAGGCCCAAACGTACTAAAGACACAAGGCACTAGGCCCAAACGTACTAAAGACACAAGGCACTAGGCCAAAACGTACTAAAGACACAAGGCACTAGGCCAAAAGGTACTAAAGACACAAGGCACTAGGCCAAAAGGTACTAAAGACACAAGGCACTTGTCAGGAATCAAGGAATGACCAGAAAGGTGTGGACTGGCACAGGGAAACGCAGGTCTCAGGTACAATATAATACAGGTTATTATTAGCCACCCAGATATATATCTATATAAAACGCACAGTGAGCAAACCAACCTTCCACTAATCTTTAGGAGGTGCAGGAACACAGGCGTAGTCAGGGCTGGAGAGGTGGAACGGTCAGGCCGGCCGTAGGGTTCTGTAATGACCGTTTGGTGGTACCACTAGCGGTCCTCAGGGCAGGATTCCCCAGGGCGCGGAGTCTAAGCCCCAGTCTGCCTTTTCACCAGAGCCCCTGATGGTGGAGATGGACTTGGCGCAGGACTGAGACCAGGTCGCGGCCCCTGAGTACCCCTGCTAGTGGTAGAGGGATCCGCCAGAAGTATGTGCAGGTACGGCTGGATCCGTGCAGGATGGATGGATGGCAGAGTAGTTAGCGTGGTCAGACAAACCGGGTCGGTAACGGTGGAGGGCAGATCAGTACAGAGCAGCAGGCAAAGAGTAAACGGGTCACAAGCCAAGGTACAGCAACAGGTGGTCAAACAGCATAGGAGTAGGCAGAAGAATAGTCAGGGATGAGCCAGTAGTCAGAACAGGAGACGGTCAACAGAGATCAGGATCAAGCCGGGTCAGCAACGAAGCAGGAACACAGGATACAGGTTTTTTAATTCTTCTATTATAAAAATTTCAAACAACAATTTCACAAAAATAACAATAGTTTTTTTTTTTTTTTTTTTTTTTTTACAGATTCCATCATCATCAACCAAAAAG